GGAAGAGGAGGAAGAAGGAGCGGTCGAGCGAGAGAAGGGTTGAGGATGTGAACGTAGAACGAGGAGGAAAAAAGAGGGCGAGAGCGAGGGGATGGAAGGGAGAAAAAGAGAAGAAGAGAGAGAAGGAACGAGCCCGTCGCTTTTTTCTCTAGACCCCGAGCCCGTCGTCTAGCGCTGAGTTCGCGAGCCTGACAGACAGCTGCAGCGGAGCCCTGATATATCGACCGGGCCACCTAACCAACTACCCGCACTCACTATTATACACCTGCCTCACACGCACGCACACTGGCGCACGTACGTGTGCACACGCACACACGCCGCCAGACATGGGGCTGGCGTGTACGAAAAAAAGGCGGCGCACCGACACCCGCCACCTCTCTCTTTTCCTCTCTTTTTCTCTCTCTTTCTCTCTCCCCCTCCCCCTTTTTCCTTCTGTCTCTCTCTCTCTCTCTCTCACTCTCAAGGTAGAAGCTCGCTCTTTGCACTCTCGCAACTCTCTCGATTACGATCCTTCTCTCTCTAATTCCACCCCCCAACCTATTCCCTCTCTCTCGACCCCTCGCTTCCTTTTTCGCCGCCGCTCTGTCTTCGTCCGCCTTGCTCTCCTGTGAAAAAGGGTGGTTGCTAGAGCGAAAAAGGGGGCCTCCCGAAAGGGAGAGGGGGGTGCGGGAAAGGGGGTGTGGAGTGGGACGGAGCATCGGGGGTAGAAGCGCTACCACCAACGGGGGTGGACAAGACGAGCGGTGGGTGCAGCGAACGGAGCCCAGTCAGCTCCAGGATAATTAGATCCTTTACAGGTTACCAATGATTGATAGTCTTCGAAATACGTACCATCCCTCTTTCTCTCTTTCTCTTCTCGATTTCCGCGCCGGGTTTCCTTCCACGTGCACACGTGGACGCGCGCGTCCACAGGTCCACACGTTCCACGTATCCGTGGGAGCTTCTCGCAGTAACGAAATACGCGCGCGCGCTCACGAGGGGTATGCGTGGTGTACGATAAATACGAAATCCCTTCAGCCGATTACGTCCTACTGAGCTTTGCCTGGGCCGCTCCGCGACCCACCGTCCCTTCGTATCGTAGCCGTGTCGCTGAAAAAAAGGGGCGCCCGGATCGCGGCCGTCGCATCGGCCGCCCGGCTTGTTCCGGCAATTTATCGATGATCCGCGTTACCGCCGCAATGCCGCAACTCTCGAATCGTCGGGACTCTCGATTCGAGACGAACGAGTCTGACAGTCAAATTTCGGAAATAAAGTATTGCAAAAGCGTTTTGTACCGGAGCGCATAAGACGAATCCTTTGAAGTCATTATACTTTAACTCACATATATATATATATATATATATATATATATATAATTTTAAACTAGTTTTTTATATCACGAGTTCTTTTCTGTTTCTGTTCCACAAAAATTCCACAAAAATTAGCGATAATATAATAAAATGGTCATTAAGATTTGTCCTTAGAGCAAAAAGTCTACTCATAGTAAAGCGTTGCATTAGTTGAAAATATTTCTGGCTCGCTCTCTCCAGCTTATGACTTTAATTCGGCAACGTAATCGCAATATTTCCCGATACCTTTATCGCAGGCACATCTCACATGCACATATTATATCCCAATCTGGAAACACTATTTCATCCTTTTTAATTTAAATTTCGATTCTTCTTGATGTAGGTCGATACCTTAAACTTTCTAGTTGTGCTCGACAATTTTTTTTGCCGTTGACGTCAACATGTTGTAACCTTTAATGTTCATAACATTGATAAATACCTATAAAATTATCGTGCATTCGATTATTTGACGTCAAACCTGGCATTTTGTTTCGTATTACGAAATGGAGCCACGACGTTAATTGGATCAAGAAACGGCAAAAAAGAACAACAAAAAAAAACAACGAGGGTAGTAAAAAAGAACTTTTGCTTTTGTTCTGCTGTGAGCAATAACAAAAAAATGCGAAATTAAATCCTACCGTCGGACGTGCTGCAGTAAACCGGGCGACACATGCAACGTCGACTAAAGAATTAATATCAAAAACACTGCTCCGTCCAAACGCGGAAGAATACATGTATTTGTAAAGAAATTAAAAACGATATGAAGAATTCTTTGCATTCTTTTTGTCTTTCTTGTTCTCATGCTACGAAATTAAGTAAGATCTCTTCTGTAAATTAATTTTGATGAGAGCGGAATCAAAGTTCCTTGAGGTAATTTAATGAAACAGAAGCGATATCTCTTTTAATATTTAAAACGGAGCAAAATATACCATTTTTAGCTTTCACTTCCAAACATTCTCGTCACACAATATACAATAGCGCGCTCTTCTCGAAAACAGAGTATTTGGTATTGTAAGAATTCGGAATTATACTCGCATGGACACGTTTTACACGCGCGCTTCAATCGATCGAAAGATAAAAGAAAAAAATGCTTTTCTATTAAAAAGATTTTTCGCCGTTGCGAATTGTAGAAATTATCTCATATTATTGATTACCTTAGTTGATTTAAAGTAGTCACGTATAAATTTATTTCGACGAGCAATTAATTTCTTTCCCCTGAACTCTGGTTGTAGACTGATCCAATCGCCAATTTTATTGCTCGTGCATCAGAGAAGGCGGAGGGAGGGGGGGGGAGGGAGGGAGGACATTTTTCTCTTTGCGTCCTGAATAAATAAATGCCCACAGATATCCGATCTTGCTCGGGTTGACGTCCGTCGATATTTCGCAAAGTCACGTCAGTCAGTGAAGTAAAGTTTTCGTTATCGCACGTAAAAGCCATTATTACCGGCGCATTGCGTAGAAGCCTACATGCGACGTGTAATATCTTTCTGCGAGCTCGCAGCGGCCTTCGCAGTGACTTTAGCATGCAAATCAGAGACTGCGGTATGCCCGGTCGGGGCATCCCTCGGCATACCTTATCACCTGTTAACATCTCGCTCTATTCCGCGCTCTACGCAATCGTCCCACGCAAATGTCAGTCGACGAGCGATTTGACGGCTGGCGGTGCAGAGGAGCCATATAGATCGGAGCCAAAGAATCGTTCCCGTATAATGTGACACGCTCGTTAAAACCGGCCGCACCGGCGAGTTTTCAAGGTACCCGAGATTCCGATCATAAGCAGGAGTATTAAAACTACATTATGCCAAATTTGGGCAAGCTAGGCGTCACGCTAGCGCCCGCCCGGTGATCGGACGGATGCACAAAAACGTTAGCATAAACGTTCGTTTTATTGGTCTCCGACTGCGCGTGTGATGCGCGCGTTACGTGTTTAATATATTAAAATTAGCACTTTCAAAGCGTCTGGGTCAAAAATAGGACGCCAAAATTATCTCGGGACGAGTGTGAACCTGCCCGACCCTCTCGAAGAATTTTATCGTAAATAATGTCTCGCTCACGCGAGAGATAGGGCATTCTTCTTCTTATGAATTGTAAATCGCGCGCGCAGCGATCATCTTTTACAATGGCCCGTCTCGACGAGCGCGATGTCTCGATGTGATCGAAGGTTTATATTAAAATCCAGAGGTTTCTCGAAAAACTTGATATTTCCCTGCTCATTAATTTGAGAGGAAAAGGAAAAAGTGATCGGCCATTGTTAACTGCCGCTTACAACGTGGAAAAAGTTCGCTCGCGCAAAAAACTCGCAAAAAAGCCGTTCCTATTCTTGCGAAGAAAATATAGGATTACACTTCATTATCTTGCTAAAGTGTAAAATGTACCGTCGGCTGTGCCGCCGTCGTAAGCCGATCGTTATACTTCAAGTATACGTAAATATATTCCTGTAAATATATCCTTGTCAATAGCCATGTCCGCCATCGCGCGGGACTATAAAAATTCTTTATGCTCACGCAAATCGTTAAAATTTAAAGATCACGATAAATTAATAACGTAGTTTACAAGAATTTGTAAGAGATCAGTAAATAAAATTCTTTGCAGCCCAGCTATTCTCTCGCAGAGTTGTTTTTTTTTTTTGTAGAAACCGAAGCTCAAGTTACGAGAGCACGATCGACTTGACGCAAACCTCTCGCAATCCGAATTAATTATAATAGTGATAACAATGATTGCGACACTCATGTCCAATACGTGAGACGACATTATAGACGTGGAACAGCAGTTAATAAAGGTTAACGGCATCTTAGACAAATTCGCAAACTCCGCGTCATGCGCACATTTGCGTATAGAGTTGCATTACATTGTAATGCGGACCGTTACAATTTTAAACGCGCGCGTTAAATTTAATAGCGATATAAAGAATCTGTCTTGGATTGAAAGTAAAAAAAAAAAGAAGAAAAGAATATAAACCGTTTTGCAGCTTTATTTGCCGCACGTAGAATTTGCGCTTTCACGCGCTCAGGTTAAACTCTAGGCGTATAGCCATTTGTCTTTCTCGGACGCTAGCGCTACATTTCGCCTCTTTGCGGTTTTACGTCTTTTTTCCTCCCCGCGTCGTCGCCGCCGCCGCCGCCGCTACCATCGTCGTCGTCGTCGTCGTCGTCGTCGTCGTCACCGTTGCACGATACTTTCGCGCGAATGTCAGCCGGTTGCAGAGGCGAGACGCGGGAAGAGATGCCCCGTTAAAATTCAGCATTTCCGCGCGATGACACATCGGAAATTTTTGCAATATCTCAAATCGCACGTCTTCCGTTACCGACCTGCCCTGCCCCTCCATGACAGGGCCCTCTCCCTTTAGTCCTCCGCGCATTCTCCTTACGTCTCTCTTTCTCTCTTTCTCGTTAGCAATGCATCGCGCGATGCCTGAGCTGGTGGCTCAGGCGGTGATTATGTTGCAGCGCGGGTTACCAATACGTGCACTGCCACGCACATCGGTAACCCGTGACTCGTGATTTCGAATAGGCCGCAGGGGCCCAGCCGGCAGCCGAGGACCTCTCAGGGAAATCCCTCATCGGAAGACGCGCGTCTACGAGGAATTCACCGCGAGTGAATCACCGCGCAACCGAGAGACCGTTCAACATACGTCAGAGCCGCCGAGTGTGTAGCAATATCTGAGGATTTTACCTGCGGAAGGAGGAGCATTCGTTACAGACCGACCGTCTGACCATCAGGCTTCCTGACGCCGGCGAGAGCGGTTCGCGCGAGACTCCTTCATGGAAGATGCGGCGAATCCTCAGAGTCCGATCATCCGATCCTTATATAAAAAGACTCGAAGATCCTCGCGGTCGTGACCTGCTGTAACATACGATGTATACGTGCAGTTTCTTCGATGTAACGAAAATCGATGAGAAACAACAAGAGTAAAAAATTACAAGAAACTTGGAAAATTGATTAAAGAAATCGAAAGAATAATACGAAGAAGCGTACGTAAGAAGTGAATAGGAAGAAAACATGGAAAAAAATCATTTCTCTTTTTCATCACTTTCTGGATATTTAAATTTAGAACATTTCTATTTCATTTCAAGTTAAAAAAATTATAGTTTAATTAATCATAAATCATATTAATATTAATACTTTAAAAATTACATAAAATAATATATTTTCGAAAATAAGTACTTGAAACAATTTTGCATAAACCGTTAATAGCGAGTAAAACAATGTTGTGTTTACGCCATTTTGATCCTGAAAAATTGAAGGATTATACGGTTTTGAACATTTTTGAACATTTTTTTCACAAATTTAATATAATATAGGAAGCGTTTATGAAAAATGTACAGAGAGATACATTATCAAAGAGAAACATTATTTTTATTTTAATACTGTTTGCCTTCCATTAAACCATAGCAGTACAATCTTTTACAGGAGTATAAAAGTACACGTGATAATTTACAATTACAATTTTATAATCGATATCAAATTATCGATATTTAATACTGTTCATCCCTTATTACATAAGCATTTATACATAAATTGTAAAAAATTGTCTAGGAATGCTTAGAAACTCACGAGTACATAAGTTTCATACAAATCACGCTTAATCATATTCAATCAACATCTTAAATTGCATCAGTTACATTTGTATGCCAATTAACATATGTAAATTTCAACAAGTACACGCCTTCCGTCGCTCGGAATTATTGCGAAGCTTCCTGCTTGTTTCTCCGCGAAACAAATTATATATATCACGCTGAAGATTGAGAATAAGTTCTCCATTATATGCTGCATAAAACAGTTAGAAATAAATACCCTGCATAAATAAACGGATAAATAATAAATAAATAAATAGAATACAAGGAAACGGATAAATAAATAAATGAATACAAGAGAATGAATGGATGCTGACGAAAATAAATAGACGGGATGTAATGTATGGTACGCGATGTATGCAATAAATAGATAATGTGCGTCAATCGCGACGGACATTCATGATTCACTCGTGCAATCATTATCCATCTAAACGACGTGCGTGATGAATATCGCAATGATAATTACATTCGGATACGTGCTACGTGCACGTCTGACCGGATTTAGCACTACCTGAGCGATTGGTTATGATCGAGTACGTGTTTTATCACATTGTTTGGCAACAACACACGGCCGAGAGATTCTATAAATACCTAGAGTATAAATAGTAATTTCTTATTCCTATTAGGCGACGGTTTTGCGTCACGGCACTTGAATCGATATCTGACGTGCGGTCTGTCCGAAAGATACTCAGACATTGCAAATCGACACGAGGCCTGCGGAAAGACGAAACGGCTTGGAGAAAGACGGAACGGGCTATACCTTTTGCATTAATCTCCGCTTCTTCTTCGGCAATTATAAGCATATTTATCCTACACTAGAAACAATTTTTGCTATTTTTATTTGTTAATTTTTTCGGTCTTTCTCTTATGACACTCTGAATTCACTTTGAATGAATTGTGAATCTACAGGGAAATAAAAATATGTTGATTCGCTTTGCTATCATTCTATCGGCTATCGTCCTTATATTACATTTCGTATTATCGTCGTTTTTGCTGTTAGAGATGTCGGGGAGATGATCGCGATTTAGTTGGTTATACTTATATATATATATATATATGTATATATATATATAATATACTGTCAACTATGAGTCTTAGAAGGAAGGGAGCAAAAGACTGACAAGAGACCATCTCGATCTCGCGATTCCGATTGTGTTTGCAACTTTCTTCTCCCGCCGCGCATCTCCCCGCCGGCAGTCCCGTAAGTCTCTGTCACCGTTCTAACGTCAAACGTTTAAGTAAATCTGTTAAATTCTCGGTACTCGCGCGTCACTAGACGCAATCTTCAAACGAGTTCCTATGCAAAGAGAAAAAGGAAAGAAAGAAGTCCGTTTGTCCGCGGATTGTCGATTGCAATGTCGTATCGTTCGCGGCAGCAACAGTTGCATTTTTCGTTTGGTTTAAATCGTCGTCTCCTTTGCGAGGACGTGTTCGATTCGTGCCGATTCGAAAATCATCGCCGATGATCGTCTCCACAGAAGCGAATTCGTCATTCCGAAACGGATCGTCATTGGCTCCATCCC